ATCGCTACAAGTAGCTAAGTGCATTACTACTAGTAACAAGAAGCTACAAGTAACAAGGTGCATCGCTACAAGTAGCTAAGTGCATTACTACTCGTAACAATAAGCTACTAGTAACAAGGTGCATCGCTACAAGTAGCTAAGTGCATTACTACTAGAAACAAGAAGCTGCTACTAACAGGGTGCATCGCTACAAGTAGCTAAGTGCATTACTACTAGTTCCAAGGTGCATCGCTACAAGTAGCTAAGTGCATTCCTTGAGTGAATATATTCACCATACATGTCAGGAACTCCATTGGGAGGAGGTGGGTGTGTGCCAAATTTTGGCTCAAGCACACCTACCTCCTGCTCTCGACAATTATTGTTTTCCTGTTTTGTCGATGGCCGCGCTGGGCGTTACCCGCAAGTGGGGGTGAGCTTGGCGGCAAAAGGAGATAGCCGTCGACGGGACGTTGGAGCAGGAGGAGAGGTAATGTTCGTCGAGAAGCAGGTCAGACGAGGTGGATGGTCGAGAAAGACTAGCTGGAGGAGACAGAGAAGGTCAAGGTTGAAGATACGGACGACGTCGATGGGCGGGTTCCCGGGTAGAGCAGGCACAGGACCCCATGTGCCTTGAAGAGCCGGTCGTGTCAAAGCGCGCGAGGGTCAAGGCAAGGACTGGAGAGACACGAGGAGGATGAAGGGAGCCCGAGCCACAGAGGTCGAGGAGCCGGAGGAGAGCTTCAAGAGTCTTGGAGGGGGAAGCTCTGACTGGAGGGTTGAATTGGCCTGGACGTTGCCTTCGAAGGCGGAGGTCGTGGTACAGTCCATCGGGGAGCCGAACTGTGATGGGAACCAGGAGGACGTCCGAGTTCACTGGGCCTGGGATGAAGTGACAAGTTTGAGGAGGAGGTCTCGGTGGCAAGGACCACAGCAGCAAGCATAGAGTGCGGAGAGGTCAAAGAGTTGGCTGAACAGAGGCCCCGAGAAGATCCGGGAGAGGCGGACAAGTTTGGCGAGACCGCACGACGTCGAGGCCAGTTGCGAAAGGCAGCAGGTCGGGTAGGGTCTTCTGGAGGGCCAGCAGCTCGAGGAGGAGTGAACTGGCGGTGCCTCAAGAGAATCCTTCTGAGGCGAGTCGAGCTGATCGGGCGGAGTCCGGATCGGCAGAACGACGTGAGGATCCTGAGTCCGAGGTGACTTGGGAGCCGGGCTAAACGAGGCCTTCAGGACGAGGGTCGGCAAGCCGAGGGGCTAGCAAGCAAGGTTCGTCAAAGATTGAGCAGACAGAGATTCGGCCAGCCAGGCAGGGCCGGGCGTGTGAGCCCATGCAAGCCTGAGGGGCTGGGACCGGGCTAGCGCCGAGAAGACAGAATTGCTGCGAGCCGGCGGCAGGGTCGGGCTTGCGGAGGTGTAGGCCTGAGGGGCCAGAAACCAAGCGAGCGCCGAGATGGTCTCGCAGGTTTGGGTCCCGAAGAAGGCGAGGAGAAAGTCAGGGGCGAGACGCCCTCGGAGCTGAAGACGCAAATTGAGGGGGGGGCTTGTGTCAGGGACTGGAAACCAGGTGAGCACTGACTTGCAAGTTCTGGTCCCGTAGAATGCGAGGAGGAAGCTTGGGGCGAGGCGGGCTCAGTCCGGTCTTGCCCATAGGGCTGATTGACGCGAGTCCCGGGAGAGGCCTTGCGTCGTAGCTTGAGGGCCTTCCCTCTACACCGCGGCGGGAGCTGGAAGAGATGCACGAGGTTCGCCACGTGACAAGGGCTCCTGCTCAGGCCAGGCCAGTCGTGAGCTCGAGGTCCAGCAGCGTGGGGGCGGACCGACTGGGGGGGGGGAGAGGGGAGGCCCGGTGGGCGTCGAGGGACATTCGAGCAATCGAGAGGGGTGACGGAGTGTTGCGGCTCGTTGCCGATGGCTCGGAGCAACTGTCTAGTGAAGGTGGAAGGCTGAGCAGCCTTTAGACGCCCATGGAGGTCGGAGCCAAGGAGAAGGAGAAGCCGGCAGGAGAAACAACTCCCTGTGATGCGGCGAGCAAGGTATGGGTTCCAGAAAGAGTGGAGACAGTGTTGGCGCAGGCGATGAGCTTCGCAGAGTTCCGGGACAGGCGGCAGTTTTTGTTCTTGCATTTGTTCAGTGGAGTAAAGGACACATTGGCCGAAGCTCTGAGCGAAGAGCGCGCGCGCAACAAGCTGAGATTCAGGGCGGTGTCGCTGGATGCGAAAGTCGATCCAGAACTGGACCCATCGACGGTCAGGGCGGTGAAAGAGATCGAGGGCGACGTCCTGCTGGGGGAATTTGATTTTGTCCATGCTGCTCCGCCGAGCGGGACGTTTGTCCCGGTGGCCTCCACCGGGAGGATCCAAAGCTGTCCTTTGGACACATGTCATGAACTCCGCACAACAGCGCCATGCTGTTGTTTGTTGTTTTGCTGTTGTTTTGCTGTCTGGAGCATGAGGTGTCACCACCATGCAAAACATAACTGAGACACCGCGCAAACATGACCGAGACACCGCCAAAACATGACCGAGACACCACAAAAGCATGACGCCAAAACTTTCCCAACCTTGAGGCGCAAAAATGGGGGAGCGCGCGGCCAATTAGGAAAGTTTTTGGAAGAAACCGTTAGAACTGGAAGTGCAGGTTTTGAGGTCACCCCACTATAGGATCATTTTATGTATAAGGCTCGTGTGTGTGTGTGTGTGCGCGTGGAAAACCTATATATAAGGCAAGTGTCGAAGGTGTGACATTTGCGCCCCACAATAGGGTTGTAAGTTCATGTGCGCCACTGACCGGCTTCTTTTCTGGCACTTTTTTTGAAAAACAGCTTTTGGGCATGCTGCGGCCAAACGGCCAAGTCACGCCGCTGGCGGCGCAGCCGTGTGGAACCGCGGCGCGGGGCGGTGGTAAGAAGAACGTGTATACACATTACACGAAGAACACGTGACACATTTTTTCAAGCAAAAATACACACACACACACCAGTCATACATTAAACAGAAGCTATGTTTTTCAGTTCTGCAGGAAATCATTTTTCCCACCAAATCTTTCCACCAAGCGCCACCATGGCGCGTGATGGCGCTTAGGCTGCAGCTGGGCGCGTGCCCTGCTCGATTGTCGGTACATGGGCATAGCGTGTTTTTTTTCGTAGCTGTAACAACTCACTACCGTTCTTTAAACGAGGCCCAGCTCGAGTGTCAGTTAGCGCGGAACGTGAGTTCTTGTTCTTCGCACCCATGGCTTTGGTGGAAGCGGTTGGAGCTGACCTTGCACCTCCACCCAACCGCGAGTTGTCATTGGCGACCATCAAGAAGTGGCGGTCTATGAGGCCAGGGAAAGTTGCGTGGGGGCAGGAGGATGTGGACGCTTGAACTGGTTTCCGTTGCAAGTTTTATTTTTTGTTTGCAATGAGTGTTTTTATTCTTGACAGACGTTGACAGCTCCCACATTAGCTCTAAGGATAGTCTGGCCCGCAAGATGCACGCCAACTCCCCCTGGAAGTTTTGGACTTGGTGGCCAACCCTGACTGGAAGGGCTCACCGCTTTTGAGTGTGGACATGGATACAAAGCCCACGGCGGCCACCCTCTCCAAGAACCACGTCTGGCTTTTGCCGATAGTGGAAGCTTGCCCAGACAAGGCTGGTCACTGGTCCTTTCTTCATTTGTTTGTGCGCACGCTTGGGTGTTTTCTCACGTTTGTTCAGGATATTTCGGGATTGTTGAGGTGCGATGAAGCATGTTCAAGTAGAGATCTTGTTCGATACAGTTGATCCCACTGACCTTTCTATCGATTAATCCTGTTGGACGCGCAAGGTCCCAAGTGGATACTTCCTGGCGGACTGCTTTCTGTACCTGGACGCTTTGTTGCATCGCCGGTTGTTCAGGCCACAGGACTGCGAGTGCCGATCAACCCTTGCGGCGAAGGAGGGATGCAAGGCGAAAGCTTGCGTTGGCGCCCTCCGCTATTTGTGGAGGAACTCGCCCGAAGGCTCTCACTACCCAAACGTGGCTGAGTTGAAAGAGCTGTTGGTGGCGTCGCCATTGCAAGGCCGCAAGAGGATGCCTGCAGAGCCACCCGTGCAGGATATTGATGAAGGCGGCCCCTTTGGTTCTGAGGAAGGTGGCGCCTTTGTTGTTGGGATTGAGGGTGATGAGGATGAGGGCATGGTTGAGGAGGCCACTCCGGCCACCAATGCTGGCTCAGCATCTGAAGACGGGGATGAGGAGAGTGGCTATGAGGCTGATGAGGCTGGCGCCGAACCTTCCGAGAGTGAGACCCAAGCCCTTCTTCGAGCACCGACTCTCCGCCTTGGAGAGGATGAGTGCAATGAAGATGCGAGCGATTTCATGCACTTCTACACCATCCATGGCTTCGTGCAGCAAGAGGATGGTGTGGAGGAGAAAAAGTTGGTCGAGCCAACTTTAGCTTTCTTTTTGGTTTGGCGAGGTTAGGGGTTCGTTCATGTTCATGCAATTGAGGCATCCCATGCTCGAGGACTACATGCTCCACTGCCGCAACGCGCTGCAAATCTTTGGTCCGATGCTCTTTGACATGGTGGCATCAGCGGGGAATTTCCACAGGTGGCTGCGCGTCCAAAAGGCAAGGACTGATTGCAACGTAGTTGAGGGTCCAGTGATTTTATATTGCAAAACGGTCAGTCAGAAAACGGGTTTATACACACACACACACCAAAAAAGCATCCGACTCCTTCCAACAGGCGTCGCCGCCTGAAGGCGCTCTTTCCACTGGGCCAACGGCCAATCCCAAGCGGTCCAAACCGCAGGCAGGAGAGTTGACGACAAACCTAAACTTTGGATTTGCCCTCAAAGGTGGAGAATAGATGGTGGAACACCCGTTTTTCCAAACACCTTCAAAAAGTATCCAAACAGGATTGCAGGGCAGCTCCACATCTCCAGCGTGTCTTCACCGCTTCATTTTGACTTTGAGGCTTGTAACTACTGTAGTTCTATTGAAGAAATTTGCAACCCTTTCTCAAATCAACCTTCAACCTATTTTCTCCAAGCCTCAAAGTCAAAAGCCATCAAGCCCGTCAGGGCTCCAAGCGTGCGGGCTGCCAAGATGCCTTCGACCTCATGCAGATGGACTCGCAGGCTGTAGATGAGGATGGGGGCTCGTGCACCAAAACCCCAGCTTGCAAGAAGCCCCGCTTGGCTGATGAGGTGAAGAAGGAATTGGAACTGACACCACCGCCGGTGCTCGGTAAACAGTCAGCTTCTAGGCGGCAAAAACCCAAACAATTTTGGAGGGAAACAACATCATTCTTAATTCTGTTCTTCCGAAAGGGGACGTCTAAAAATCATATTCGGGCTCTATGAAACCTCACACAGGATCGAAGATGACAGAAGTCTATAGCGTGCTATGTTTTTTCAAATGGTGCATTGAAAAAGCCATTCGGCAATCAACCTCCAAGTTCAGGTCTTCCAGGAATGTTAGACCAACTGAACGTCCAATTTCCAATAAGGCGAAGGTCGTGAGCAAGCTGAAGAAGCAAGAACGCCGGGAAGCCGCGCGCAAGAAGGGCTCTGCAGCGCCAGACGCCCTTGAAGATGGCAGCCTTGGGGAGAAGGCTGTTGAGTTCAAAGGGTATGATCTCCAAATTCTCCCAAGCGAAGCTCTACCACTCAAGAGTGGGTTGCACCGCGGGCGTCATTCCTACACTGTGAATCTTGATGGTGGAGCAGCAACTTAGCGTTCACAGTTCGAAGCGTTTTCGGATGAAAGGTGAACCGTCAAAGATGAAGTTTCCCTCGGATACATGCCTTGACTCAGCAAACGCAACCTCGCATTCCAATTCGTTGTTCCACTGCCCACCCTTCCAATCCAATTATGATTCTAAACCGTTCAAACTCCACTGTAGGCAATCGAAGTGCTCTGCCGAGCACGGGCCTATGTGGTGAAGAAGGTCGTGGATGGCCATTCCAAGCCTGTGGGGTCACAGATCTCAAGGGCCAAGCGCTCCGGGCCAGTGACTGCTTGGGGCGAAGCCAAAGCTAGGGCTGGGGTCGCATGCACCGCGTAAGTCTTCCTTTCTAAAGTCTTCGAGGGTTTAGAACCTATGCAGCCTAAATGGTAAAACACCTTGTCCTTGGGTTTTTGTTTGGAGCACTTGATGAAGCAAGCGGTGCGTGTGCTGTTTGTTTGTAGGGGTGCCACTGCAAGACCAGGATCGCACATGCAGTGGCTTTCTCGGGGTTGATACTTAGTTTACACTATAGACTCAAGTTCATAGAGCTGTCAGCATCAGCCTGACTCGGGAGCTTGGGGTTTGCAGGGTGGAAACAGGAAAGGTATGGGACAAACGCACGATGTGTTTTCTATCAACTGCCAAACCAAACCCCCAAATCCATCAACGTACGAACAGAGATTGAGAAAACTTGTTTTTCGGAGATTCAGACTCTTCGCCAACATCTTAAGCCCTGCGTTTGCGCATTCGGCCTTCGCTCGGTCCCGCTCCAGGTACTCCTCTCATCTCTCCACCTTTGCAGACGCTGCAGCTTTGGAGGACACTGCTCAGTTCAAGCGAGAAGTCTCAATTTGGTATGAAAGGGTTGGCCAGAACGAGGTCAGAGTTCACCTCTGTATGCTACAGTAGCCGCAGCCATTTGTCAACCAGGGTTCAGCTTCAGGGATTGTCTCTAAGGGGTGTTGGAGGCCATGGTGAAGCGCGTTGTGAGGTTTGATGCAGACCGAATGCGCAAGTACACTGTTTTGAACCAGAGAAAGATGCCCTTCCAGGATGAGGAAGGTGTGTCCAGGCCCATCCAATCCAATGACCCGAAGACGAAACAGCACTCCCGCATTCTAGCCGGCCTGAACTACTTGAAGGCTCCTGTCGTAGTCTGGCCTGAGCGATCAGCATCCTGTTGACCCCCTTGTATTTGGGCACCCCACCCAGAATGCCCCTAATCCATGAACATTAGCTCGATTCCTTGCGAAGTCCAATTGAAGTGAGGTCATCGCTACTTTGGTTTCAATGATATTCTCGGTTGACACTTTGGATTTCTCAAAGCCGCTCGATCACCTGGAGCTCTTTGCTGGCCAGATGTCAGTGACCAGGGCTGAGCTTGAGGCTTGTTAGCGTCAACACTTTCAGAACATGGGAACATCCCATACAAATTCAGGGGTTGCCTTTGTGTCCTCTGGGTTTCCTTTGGGTTCAGTGCACCTCTTCAGAAGGGAATAGAATGCATAAACTATCAACCTGTCTAAGTAGAATATAACCCTATGGTTTGAGGTCTCTCGCATTCTTTGCTCCCTGTCTAGGCAGGACGCAGTGCGGCTGCAATGGATTTGGTCCTTGGGGGGAGTGAAATGGATCTGGCAACCAATGCTGGGTTCTCCAATGCAGTGTACAAGGCATGTACTTTGCGTGAAGGTGGAGCAGCGCTGGTAGCTCCCGTATGCAGCTCATGGGTGTTTATGCGATCTGGTTCAATGGCATTCTTTCATGAATCTCAATTTCCATACACAGGTTTACAGAATGGTATATAGTTTGAACCAGTATGCAGTCTCCGCTTTACAGCACACTGCTCAGGTCGAGGGGATCTACTAAGCGCTCTGATTCATGCCCTATGGGAGACCTAAACTCACCAGCTGTGAGACTGGGCAACCTACTCACAGCCCGAACCATTGTGATCTTGATGATCCTGGCTGCTCAAGGAGTTTGGTTTGCGCTGGAACAGCCTTCTTCCAGCCTGATGGAGAAGCATGTTCTTTTTCAAAGGCTGGTAGGCCTTGTGTCCATCAGACGAATGTCGATCATGATGGGGGATTTCGCTGGCCCGACGCTCAAGCCAACATGGCTATATAGTAGTAACTTGGCACGTTCTTATGTGTATATACATATATATCTTTCAAGTCTACTATTTATAGATCTACTTGTATCTCTCTATATATATATATTGATTCCTCCGTAGAAGCGTTAACATTAGAATTTGAGAATCAGGGCAGGAAGGTAGCAAGATTGCGGCCTTTGGGTGTTATTTTGTAAGTTTTCTCTACGAAAGCATGTTTTTTGCGTTGTTTCAAGGACATTTGAAGTTTTCTTCTATTAATGCATGATAATGCATGTGTTTTTTATGATTCGACGTGACATAATCCACCTGACACCCATGTTGTGCTCTGTAGCTGCACAGTGAACCGACGAAACGTGGGGGGCGGCGTATTCTTATCAACCAAAAACATCAAAATTATCAAAAATCAAGGATTTCATTGATTTTTAGTGTCCCCGTTGAATCCCGTTGAGTTCCCATTTAGTCCCCGTTGAGTCCGCGTTGAATCCCCATTTAGTCCCCGTTGAATCGCCGTTGAGTCACCGTCGACTTGCCGTTGAGTCCCCGTTGAGTCCCCGTTGAATCCCCGTTGAGTCCCCGTTGAGTCCCCGTTGAGTCCCCGTTGAGTTTCCGTTGAATCCCCGTTGAGTCCCCGTTGAGTCCCCGTTGAATCCCGTTGAGTCCCCGTTGAGGCCCTGTTGAATCCCCAATCCCAACGCAAACTCAACAGGGATTCTCGTTCAGCCCGCCGAGTGGTCCTCGCCCAACTGCTCTCCCGGTGCCTGTCGTTCCCCGCCAGCTTCCGTTTCGCTCGGTCTCTATACCCCAACAGCGCGCCCGCCGTGCCCGGCCCCACTCGTGGTTCCCTTGTCGCCGCCCCCGGCCCCCGGGCCGCCCCACCCACCCCAGCCCGGGCCATAACATTAGCTAAGTTACTGGATTACTGGCAATAGTACAATATTTTTCACAGTATTATACATTTTACTAATAGATATGGGAAAACACAAAATTTTGCCAAGCACTTTTGCCAGCATTTTCCTCTAGTCTTAACGCTTCCAAAGAAAAAACAATACATATATATATTCATACATGCATATTGCTGTATAGTTCCCAGCCGCCCACGCTTCAATTCAGGCCACGTGGACGTCCAAGACATCGAACGCTTCAAAGTTGCCCGCCGTCTCGATCCTCAGCGTGAAATGGTGCGGCACTACCAAGATGGCACAGGCCGTGCGCGGATTACTGGAGGTTCCGCGCTGAAATCAAGCCAAACCTATCCTCGATAGCTACTCGGCCCTCTTAGTTGTATAACTCACTTGTTCATCTTAAGGGCCATTGCAAAGAAAAAAGGGTGACCTTTTTCATCTCTTTTGGAAGGCCTTTACAATGAAAAAAGGACACCCCCTCTGTGCACATGGTTCTCTTAGTTTCTCAGCTCCCACGTCCCCACTCCTACGCGCCGCCCAGTTTTGGACAAGCCCTATCTATTTGCAGAACGCTCCACAAGGCTAAGCGTGCGAAGATGGCTCGTGCTTTGTATAGGGCGGCCCGGAAGTCTGACCGGAAGGTCGATGAACGACCCAGGATAAACAAGATCTGGGCGGACCATGCAGACTTGCACAGTGTCCTCAAATATTTATCCCGTTAGGGGACAGGCCGTGATATATATACATAAACGTATACATATACATATGTATATATATATATGCATGCTTGTTTCAACAAAACCTCACACCACATATATGCCATAGTATATATTACGTGTTTGTTCACATCTGTTCACAAAAATTTGTGAAGTATCGTGCAACCCACTTTGGCGCCTGTCCTTCATATCTTGCAGTTTCCCACGCTGACAACGGTGTGGGTAATTTGACCTGCTGTGTATTTGGGATGGAATGGGGAAAACGAAGCTTGGTGTGAGAAGACCGCTGGACTCTTTTGATCCCTTTGGATGCTTTATCAAACCAATCTTGATGCTTCCAATTCACAGCCTTTTGAAACCAGGAGGCCAGAAGGAAGGTTAGTGTTTCCATTGCCAAGAACCAGGAGGGGTTGAAGAACATATTTTTCAACCTCTCCTGGAAACTCAGCGCGCAGGACACCATGCCCCGCGTGTTCTTGAAAAGGAAGCAATCCTTGGGTACTAGCTTCACCCAGTACAGCTGGGAGGGTGGGGTTGGCAGTGGGCAGACCTGTGCCACAGTGACACGCTGGGGCCAGGCACAAAAAAACCTAACACGCAAATAACTTGCATTGGGCGCACGCTTCGGGCCATTGTGGCAGCTCGGAGGCGAAGTAATTGCGATAGTTGTGCTAAGAACAGGATTACACCATTCAAAAACGAAGAACCGTTTGCAGAAACCTGCCGTTTGCCGACTGGCAAGGTCCTTTTGATCAAACTTACTAGTTTTGTTTTTGCGCCGCAAAGAAAACCACAAAGACTTCCCTCAAATTTTGCTGAGTTTTTGTTGCCTACAAAACAAACGCCACACCAAGAATGACCGTTCACCAGGCATCCTTTCAGCTGGCAAACAGACGCAAAGAATGACCGTCAACCAACACACAGAGAATGACCATTCTGCAGGCATCCATTCAGCTGCCAAACGCACACACGATGGGTGCTCCGCGGAGCTGGGCTTCAGAGTTGCGTGGTGAGCATTAGCACTTTATGTAACTGCATTAGCCGATGAATACTTATAGCCCTTGACTTGAAGGAACCGCAAGAATGCAAAGTCAGTCAAACAGAATGTTTCAACGAGAAATTGAATTGAAGTGATTAAAAATTTGCAGGCACGCCAGGATGGCCAATCCTGGTATCCCGTGTTCAGACTAGCTTCGTTGGGCGTAGTCATCTGAACACGCTACGCCCCCCTGTCTAAAGCTGTACAATGAGCGAATGAATGAAATTGGTTAGAGGGAAGGTATTAGCGCCGCTGGAAACGGGGTGTGACACACACAGAAGCCGTAACGGCGCAGTTAGGTAGGATGCGTGGGTGTGAGTTGCACGACTGCAGTCCCAACATGCAATGCAGCTCGACTCAATCGGCAATGTAAATCTTTTTCTACCTCGAGACTGCACCGCTGCAGCGCAATGTACTGGTAAGTGACCATTTGTCACATAGAGCTGAACCAATGCTTGGGGTGGGGTGGAAGCAAGGTCTGGTGGGAAGAAGCTTGCAACCACCCCGCAGTCTTGTGGTTAGAGTGGTAGGAAACGGAAAAGGAAGTAGGAGAACCGAAAGCTAGATTAAAACTTAAAGATTGAAATTGGGATATCTCCTGGGGTGAAACGAATTCAGAGAGGAATGTCAGTAAGCTCTGCAGCAAGATTCAGAGGTGAAACGTTTTCCATCGCAATCATACTTCAAGCAAGACATTCAGCTTCGGTTGTCTGAGGTCCGGACTGGACTATACAGTGGATTCTCTCCAATAAAGGAGTAGCTTACCACAGTGGGAAGAAGCTGCGAATCACACTTAGGATGGGTGCTCCGGGGAGCTGGGCTTCAGTGTTGCGCGGTGAGCATTAGCACTTCATGTTATTGCATTAGCCGATGAATACTTAGCCCTTGATTTGAAGGAACCGCATTGGGCGGTGGCCAAATGAACACCGATTTGGGCGGTGGCCAAACGAAGTGGAAAAGGAGAAAATTGCAAATCCCAAGTGCGATTCAACAAGTCTGAAACCAAGTGGGAAATTGCAAATGGAAACCAGATGACCAGAAAAGGCAAGAATTCATCCAAAACGATGAAAACTCATCAAAAAACGCGCAAACATACTGCGCACGCTGCGGCTGCTACGCAAACCCACAAAAAAAATTACATTTTGAAGAAATTCTAAGAAAAACGACTCGAATTGACCAGCAAGCAATTGAGAACTCATCAAAACCGTTGAAAAAGAGTGGGGGAGCCACAAAAAACTAAAAAAACTCAACAGAATACTATCCTCATGGCCTGAACGCTTGTTTTGCGTAGACTTCGACAAGAATTGCAAAGAATTTCACAGAGGCAGATGGCAAATCAGTCACTGGCTGGAGAATTGATCAAGAGTGGCTGGAGGGTTGCTGCAGAGTCGCTCCAGAGTCGCTGGAGAGTCGCTGGAGGGTCGCTGGAGAGTCGCTGAAGAGTCGCTGGAGAGTCGCTGGAGAGTCGCTGGAGAGTCGCTGGAGGGTCGCTGGCTGTCTAAGAGGCTCTACAACGCAAGTTCTACAACGCGGCGTGCAGTTTGAGGTCGGCGTGGGCAACTAACACCAAAATGATTGCATTTATCGCGGTTGGGTACCAAACGATGAGAAAATCGTGGAAAATATGAACCACAATCGGAAATCATAAAGAAAACGCAGAAAAAACAACAAAAAACAACCGTAGAAGGTGAGTTGACTCAACTTTACAGGGTTCAACGCAGGAAATCATCAAAAAATGAAAAAAACATAGAAGAAAATAGGAAAAGATACAAGAAAAAGGTGATCTGACACAGTTGTAGACCAAACCAAGCAAAGCTTCTACAAATCAAGGCAAAATCATTGAACGAACAGCCCCTTCAAAATCATGGTCGCGGGAGGGTCGGTGGGTCTGGCTGTCTAAGAGGCTCTACAACACAAGTTCTGCAACGCGACGTGCAATTTGAGGTAGGCATGGGCAACTAACACAAAAATAATTGCATTTTTATTGCAGTTGGGTGCCAAACGATGAGAAATTCATGCAAAATATGAGCTACTGCAGGGAATCTTCAAGCAAAACGCAAAAGTAGAGAAAAATGACAAAACTAGACAACCGTAGAAGGTGGCCTGACTCAGCTTGACAGGGGCCAATGCAGGAAATCATCAAAAAAAGCAAAAACATGATGAATAGAGGAAAAGGCTGAAAGAAGAAGGTGATCTGACACAGTTGTAGACCAAACCAAGCAAAGCTTCTACAAATCAACGCAAAATCATTGAAGTAACAGCCCCTTCAAAATCATGGTCGCGGGAGGGTCAGTGGAGGGTCTGGCTGTCTAAGAGGCTCTACAACGCAAGTTCTGCGACACGACGTGCAATTTGAGGTAGGCATGGGCAACTAACACAAAAATGATTGCATTTATTGCAGTTGGGTGCCAAACGATGAGAAAATCATGGAAAATATGAGCTACTGCAGGAAATCTTCAAGCA